TCAAATAAATATATATATATATATATATATATATATATTAATTCTATCAATCAATTTAAATCAAAATACATACGCATATTATTAAATTCAATATTCAAATCATAAAAATTACATTATTCATAATTTAATTACTTTAATTATATACCATAATATATATTAACGCTATCAATTAATTTGAAAAAAAAAATATATTTGTATTATTAGTTTGAATGTTTAAATAATAAAAATGTTCTAATGATAAAAATTTTATTAGTTTATTTCAAACATTTCAGATTAATTAGGATTAAGAAAGTAAAAAAATAAATAAAGAGAATTGATTTTATGTTTTTATTTGTTAAAAATTTTATTGAAATCTTTAATTAGGATAAATTAACAATCTCATGCTATTTTCTTTTGATTGTGTGGGCATGTACATATGCGTGTCTATTAGATTAATATATAATTTTTATTTTTCATATTAACATTATAAAAAAATATTTTTTTAGTGACAATCTTATAATAATATAATATATGTTATTAAAAATTATTTTAGTTCATAATATATGTTGGCATATATTAGTAAATATATTATCATATAATTATTAAAAAAATGTAAGTATAAAATATAAAGACACTTAATATATATTTCAAATTTTATTCAAAATCAATATTAAATTTATATGTGAATATATATCAAATATATTTATATTTACATATATTATATTTATAATAATATTTTTTGTATTTTATTATATGTAACAATTTTTATAGTGTAATTAAATATTCTTAAAACATTTTTAATGCACATATATCATATATGGGTTGCTTAAAAATAACTAACGATACATTAATTTTTTCATTCATTGAAATTGATCTACGTGACCTCAATAATAGTTTTAAAATAATAAATATGATAGTTTATAAATAAAAAATAATTTCATATGTAGCATTAAGAAATGAAAGATGAGAAAACCTTATAGATGACTCACTTAAATATAATTAAAAAAATATAAAATGTAAATTTCTTATTAAGATACATCATTAGAAAAAAATGTACATAAATTTTTTTATGAATGTATTGCTTAAATACGATGTAACGTTATAAGACCAAATTAAATTAAATAAAATATTAAAAATGAGATATTTAAGATACACATATTAAAGATGTTTTTACGAGAAGTGTTTCTTACAAAAGTGACTCTAGAAGAACATTTGGTTGGTGTGAGAAATCAGAACTATAAATTTACACTATACAGTCATGTGGGTAATCATATAATTATTACTTAAAAGAATTATATATATACTTTAATCTTGACCATTCATATAAAATTATTTGCAAAATTTAATAGTTTTTAATTTTATTTTTCACATGTACAACGCATATCATAAGGAAAGTAAATCTTAGTCATCCAATCATACATATGTCATTAAAAACATTTTAATCCTTTTTTAGTGCAATTCATTTTAATCTTAAGTTTCCATTTTAATGATATAATTGAAATTGGCTACTCAATCTCTCATCTATTTGCACACGACTTCTCTCTCTTCTATATATATAAAATCTCTATGGGATTGGATCATGACACCCACTTCAAATAACCTATTTTACACCTTTCCTCCTCTGCATAGCCTCATTCTCCTTTATCTCTTCTTCACCCACAAATGGTGAAGTTCTCAAAGGAGCTTGAAGCTCAACTCATTCCAGAATGGAAAGAGGCCTTCGTCAACTACTGGCAGCTCAAGAAGCAGATTAAGAGAATCAAACTCTCAAGAATTCCCAAGCAATCCCACCATGCTAAACCAGACTTTGGGCTCTCCATTTTCGATTCTTTTCACTTTTTTCTTAAGAACATCGCTCACAACCTTTCAGCTTCCGACCGACATGACCTCAACATCATTCAGGTAATTAAATTAAACAAACAAAACTATCATTACTTACTGCCATCATATCATGACTTAATTTCTACGTCTTTATTTGTTTCAAAATATTCGGCTGCTTTTGGTTCTAGCAATGAAGTATTTATGAGTTTCTGGCACGTACCAGAAAACCTGTTAGCAGAAAAATGTCCCAGTCACGAGCTGAAAACTCGGTGCCATTTTTGCGTGTCTCTTCATAGTTCTCTATGTTTTGTCTTCTAGTGTTTCATTATTCATGTAATATGTTTGGATGTGGTAAAAGAAAATAAAGAGGAAAGAAGACATGAATTGTATATGATACATTTGCTTTTGTTTGATAGGAAAAAATAATTTTAGCAACAAAAGTTTATCTTTTTTGTTTCTATTTTTTCATCTATTCAAATCCGAGGAGGTTGATGTCTTATAGTGTGCATAGCTTTACTGCATGAAAACGGAACAAAACTAAGTGCGACATCTTTTTTTCTGATAACGAATTAATTCAACAGACTGAAACTCTAATAAGCTTAATTAATGCGTTTTTATTTACTATAACTAACTGATTTTTAATCCTGAGCATGGTTAATACTTAATATGAATCGTCAAAAACAAAAAAAACAAAAAATTTAATGCGATTGCCAAAATTGTAGTAATATAGTAAGAATAATTGTAGTTGAAGTAAAATTAAAAATCTTAATTTGTCACCTGGACTGTTTGTGGTCCAATAATATAGTTCACACAATTCCTAGAAACCATCCATGTTTGATAAACAATAATTAATTTAAGAATCTTTTTTATCCATAATTATCGATAATATTTTTACTTTAAATTCCTTAAGCTTACTTATTAGAGTATCTTTCTCCTTGATTTAATTAGATATTATTGAATCATTGAAGATAAGGTTTTTACTGCAATATCAACACTTAAAAGAATTTAATTCTTTTACTATGTATGAACAGCTGCTGTAAGTAAAATAAATCCAATTCAAGAATAATAAATGCATGAAAGTTAAGTTCCTTTATTTGTTTGAATTTTGCATCATTTAAACATGAATAAAGTTAATATTTGATTTTTTGAAAAGGGAGTAAAAATAATAAGGAAATAAATAAATAGAACGAATGATTATTAGGAAAAAGTTGGGGTTGGCGGAAAGAGGTAATGTAGCTATGTGAGCAAAGTGTGGGGTTAAGTACTAAATAAAGTGGATTTATCATTAGTGGCCTCCTTTTCTTTTCTTTGTTTTTGAAACCCTTTTCTCTGCTTTCTTTTGGGGAGTTTCTCAATCTCTCACGAAAGCAGCAAAACGGTTGTGGCCTTTGTGGATCTATCTGTGCCACTAGCGTCGCAGCTTAAAATGTATAATAACAATAAAAAACTAATGTCACAAAGAAAATGCAAAATAGAAAAATAAATACATGGCTAATAATAATAATTAATTATTAATAATCATGCAGGTGAGGAAGAAAAGCTCAAAAAACGGCGAAGAAGAAATCTATGAGACAGAACTTGCACAGTTGTTTTCAGAAGAAGATGAGGTATGATGTACATTTTTGAAGTGACATGATGTTTAGTTTGATAATTAATAAGAATTATGATTGTTGGTTAGGTACGTGTGTTTTTTATGAGGCTGGATGAAGAGCTAAACAAGGTGAACCAATTTTACCGGAGACAAGAGAGTGAGTTCGTTGAGAGAGGAGAAAGCCTGAACAAGCAGCTTCAGATATTGCTTGACCTTAAGCAAATTATCAGTGACCGTCGCCGGAAAACTACTCCGTCGAACCCATTTGCCACTCCTCAATATTCTCCCACCAGAGATTCTGATTACTCCGGTTACCTCTCTTCTCCTTCTCCCTCACATTCTAGAGGAAAACCTCTCTCTAATGTCTAATCTGTACATGCACATCACAAAAGCTCATGAATCTTTGGGACTTTCTTTGAACTTATCCAAATAGTATTTTCTCAACCATTCGTATTTTAAAAGAAATATGTTTGATTTGGGATGAAAAGATTTTTATAAAAATGAAAAATGAGAAGAAAGGAAGTTAAAATGAGTAGAAACCACGGTTTTAATTGTCATGTCATTGGAAATCCACACACTCGGTACTTTTATTTTTTGGGAATAAAAGCACAGAAATGTGGAGATTAGTTTGTTCCCAAGAATATTTAATCAGGAATACAATTTGTAAACTTGAAACAAAGCATGGGAAAAACAAATTTCCTATTTATATATTTTCAAAAATATTATAAGATGACTCAAAGAAACACACGAATGATTATTTTATTGCGACAATGAATGGATATATACTATTTAATGTTCAAGCCAGAAATTTGATATTGGTCGGGTTAATTTGCGCATCCTAGTGTCAATTTATTAAGTGCTTCCTGACATCACACAACATATACAAATTGTATGTCTACGTGGAACATTCGTGACCCCTCACATACTTCAAAATACAATAATTATATTTTAGAAGTAATGATATTTTTGCATATTATTTTCTTACATCATTTTAGATTATAAAATATATAATATTAATTCTGTAAGCACAGCATAATATTAATTACTTAATGTGTAGTATTTTTCAAAATTCAAAGGGAAATATTTTTGTATAATTAACATATTGCTCTTATTAGCACAACAATGTTGAGATGAAAAGTAAGAAATAATAATAGTGTTGCGTGGGTAAGTAAATTGTTAGTGTTAAGTTGCATGATTATATTAGTTTGTGCAGAAAACTTAGGAGATTCGGATGAAACAAATTCGGAAATTTCACAAACGGATGAGGTAATGGCAAGATTAGAGAAAAATGGTGTAAGTTTCGTGAATTCAGCAACGATGGCAAAGACGAAGAAGGGAAAGCCTAAGATGACAATGAGAATTGATGTTCCAGCCACCAACCCAACTAGGGCGATTACAGCAATTACCAGCATGCTGTGGGAGGATTTAGTCAACAATCCAACCGGAGACTTTGTTCACAAGAGAAAGATTCAATGTGCTGAGAAAATGATTCGAAGTGCGTTTGTGGAGCTCTATAAAGGCCTTGGCTTACTCAAAACTTACAGGTTCTTTTTTCTTCATATATTCCCTAAAAATTGTTATTATTATCAACATCCTAATCCAACATTCATCCACTCACTTAATTTCATTCAAACTACTTTATTTGATTAAATTTTACTTTAGACTTTAGGCTCCCATTCATTTTAGAATAAATTACATCAAATATTTGATGAGGTTTTGTAAAATTATACAAACACCAACACTTTTCTCTATTTTAATATATGTTTATGGTAACCCTCTTTGCAAAATATTACAATATAATATTTTTCAAATAATCAAGGGTGAATAATGAAATTTCCAAAGCGTTAGTATAATTTTTTTTTAAAAATTAAAGAATTATTGAAGGAGTAGAAAAAAAATATCAATACAAATGATTTTAGTAAACAAGTAAGCTAATCTAAAATTGTAAAGTTTGTAACTATTATCACCTTTTCTATTTACAGAATTTTAACTAAAAATTTTGCTTAAAAAATTAAAATTTATTATTTAATTTTAGGTCAGGTATTAGATTATGAGCATTCCATTTGGTGGTGTAAAATGAGAAAATCTTGGAGTAGAGGGCATATTGATTTTGTGATTATCTTGGCCAAAATTGGAAAGAATATATAAAAATGGTAAGGGCGCCAATGAAAGGGATGAGTTGCATGGCTGTTCACAACATCACGTAAGGTTTCGGATAGAGAGAATAAATGAAGGTTGCTGTGATTGTCACGTAATAGACTAGATCTATTCACCAAATATATATATATATATATATACGTTCTAAAATAACTGCTAAAAATTAGTTTCGATTTTAATTTTTTTCAAATATTTTAGTATGGACGAAGTAAATTTTAGCATTTAATTATAATTTAATTAGTTTTTTATATATATAATTTAATTAAGGAGATTTACTGATATAAAAAAAATGTAAGGGGATTTACTTAAAGTGTGGATGTATTATCTTAGGTTGGGGAATGGGGAAAGATGTTTCTGTTAAGATCTATAAAGCTAACTTTAGCACTCACTTCCAAATAGTGGCCAACAAAATCAAAATGCATTTCTTATCGCCAAATTTTGCTTTACTTTTCATCTCGTTTTCAAGTTTGAAAATCCCTTTCCAATTATTTATTTACTCATTCATTTATTTTTCACCTGTAAAATAAATGCGGTAATTTATAGACTCCAGAGAGGGAGCTAAGAGAGAGAAGCATATTTAATAACAAAATAAAAATCATTACTTAATTATATATATATATATATATATTAGTATTTTATGAAAATTTAAATTTGTTTTTAATTTCTTAAATTAAATTTTTTTTTTATAGTCTTTATGATTTTATAAAATTTTATTTAGTCTTTATATTCAAATTTTGTAGAGAATTTATTAAATTATTGTCATACAAAATCTACTTATTAATATTTTTGTCAATAAAAACATCACATTAAATTCAATTAATATTATATAATTATCAAATTTATTATTTTTATATATGTTATTGAAAATGTGAGAAAATAATTTTTTTTTAAATTTCATATAAAAAAATAGTTTTAAATTTAAAAAAAAATTTAAAAATTAAAAACATATTTAAATCTTATAATAAATCTATAGATAATTACATAGTACAAGCTTTTTCTACCAATATAAAAGGCTTCCCAGAAATCATAATGAGTGAACTGTGGTGATAAGAATATGAATCACTTGATAACATGCATGTTTGAAAGAGGAAAATCAAGCGTCTTCGTATAATGGTTCTAAGATTTACTCTGGAATATCAATCTCTTAAAATACTGTTTGGTAATAAAAATTATCTGATAAATATAAATTAATTTTTAATTATCAATTTTTAAATATTATGTGAATAATGTATATAAAAAATATAATAAACAAACAAAGAATCCCCACCTAAATGACCTGATATTCTAGTAATATATATCAATAGCATGCAATAGGGTACACCCTTCTCTAATATGCAAAAAAATAATGCTTAAAGATTTAACAAGTATTTTTTATATAATAAAATTCTGATTGTCATCATAAAAATAAAAAAGAATATTAATTAAAATTTCATTTTACAAAAAAATTAGCAATCTTAATTAATCCAATTGAATATAAAAATTTACAAAATAAAAAGCTACACATGCAAGAAAATGAAATAAAGCAAGATTAAAAATCTCTATATATTAGGTATTTTTATTTATTAAAAAAATTATAAAGACGGAGATGAGAGTCAAACTTAGAGACATAAATCAATTAAAAAAAATCTTAATATGATTTTTAAAGAAATTATCACCAAAGTTAATAATTTTTAATTATATGACATATCATAATTATATATTAGTGTAAGAAAAAAGTTGAGTAGAGAGGGGTTGGAATAGTTAAAATCATGAAAACCTAGGTTCAATCCTCATTACGACTATCTTTATAATATTTCTTATTTTAAAAAAAAAAAGGTGTAAGAAAATGTTAACAATTAAGAATAATCTTAAATGCAACTTTTTAAAAAATAATAGAATAATTCTTAATTATATAACAATTCATAATTAGATATAGTTAAGTATAAAAGAAAAAAAAAACCGTTGTGAATATATTTATTCAATTAAATTCCATATATATTGAATAAAAAATAATATATTAATAGTTTGATCACTTTAGAATTTAGATTAATTAGCCTTCATTGATAAATATTTTGTCTAACAATAGTTAAATGGTTAATATAAATGTTATAATTATGCTTTAACAAGATGGTAATAACAAACAATCTCACAAGTATCAAAAATTGATATGTACTATATATAAGTATATAAAATGGTATAATGTATCATATTTTAAATGAATATATATAGACTCAAAATATCTATATTAGTAGCTTAATTTAATTTGAACATTTAATGTATCAAAAATATAATTGTTCTCTTAATATAATTTTAGTCTAAAATCATTAAATTGTTATAAACATTGTGAATTTATCTTAATAAATGTAAAATAATTATTCATATTAATAAAATTATTTGTTATTAACTTAATATACATTATTTATTAGTTGACACCTATAATAATAATTTTTATAATAGTAATATACTTATATGCTAAGACGAATTCAATATCTTAAATTGGTGAAGATAAGTTTTAAAAAACCTAATAATAATTATCGTTATATATATATATATATAAAATAAAATATAAATATTAAAAAAATAATCATCAGTTAACTTTAATACGTAAAATTAGAAAATATAAAATATAATATTTCAAATATACATTAATAGTTTAATTTAAATAAGAATGTATTTGCCCACCTTTTCCATAATATAAGTCCATCGGAACACCACTACTAATATAATTTAATTTATTACTCTGTTGATTAATAAAGGTTATTCTAACTCACATTAATTATGGGTGAGAGAGAGAGAGAGAATTCTTTTTGAGTGAATCTACGCCTAATATAATATGAAATAATTATTACGTATGAATGTCATTCAACCTTAGATTTCTTTATAAAATACTATACGGATATATTTCATAGGGTACGTGGTTGGTTATATTCCTTTTTACTAAAAGCATGCACCTCTTTCATGATTCACCAATTTCTAATATCACATTCTTTCGTTTTGGCAGCTCACTGAATATGGTAGCATTTTCAAAGATATTAAAGAAATTTGACAAGGTAAGCCTTAATTAAAAATATCTCCTCTTATTTCACACACTACGTGTGCAAATATACCTAGGCAAACACAAAGAAGGATTTCATGGGACGTTGTTTTTTGTTCCTTTATTAGTTACATTTTGGCCATATATGAATGAAATTAAAGATTTCGTTAATTGATATTATTAGTGTCACCCTAAGCCTAAGGTCTCATTCAATCACATATTTTGCGATAATAATGACGAAAACTAAAACAAGTTTCCCAATAATTAATCCTTTGTCATAATATTCAGCATGCTTAATTGCACTAGAATACGCTTCTTACATGAAAGTCATGAGAATCTTGAACTATCTCCACCATGGACAAGGACAAGATCAACCTGATTTCCAATCCCAACTAATTTTGACTTACAATACACATGACCAAAAGATAGTGATAGTACCACTAATTTTTTCTTTCAGTGATGGAGTCACATCTTTTATGTCCAAAACTCTCTTTGCTTCTGCATCTATTTTATTTAATTTAATTTAATTAATTAATGATGGTGGGTACAGCTGTTTGACACAATATATGAAAACATTTTTTTTGGTGCAAGTCTCTGAGTGCATAAGAAAAATATTTGCTCCAATGTAATATTTATGATTACAAAGTTTAGCTACATATATTCAATAATGCTTAATATAAGGCTGGTGCGTGGTGACTTTTTTCTTTTTAAATCAGATATGGTATTGCAATTCTTTAGGGCACAATAGGACGCTCACTCGTGCTTTTCTTGTAATATCCTAATTCGTTTGAAAATATTTAGGACAAAAAATGATCCGTTTGGACAAAAAAAAGTTTTTTCTTATATATATATTTTTTTTTCAATTTTGAAAAGACAAGAACCACTCAATATTTTTTTAATTTCGCCTAATTATTAAATATGAGTGAAAGTTGGAATATTTGAATGGTTTGGCTAATTGATCATAATTAGTGATCTTCCTAGTCGAATAAATTATTCACCTATACCACCAGTTGATATAAGTAATAATGATAGTCATATGTATCTTTTAATCAAATGAAAACCATGTTTAAATTTTAATATTAAGTATGAAATAAATTTTGTTTGGAGGATAATTTCTTAATTGTGAATATTTCGTGTCTATATTGTATTTTTTATTTACTCCCGATAATAGCCTTTAATGGTGTACGGATGTGTTATTGACGATTGTCTTTTGGTAAATCAAATTATGAGTAGTTTGTATTTGTAAACAAACAAGAATATATGAATAATGATATTATATTAGCACACTTCATCAAAGGGAATTATAGCGATCTCAAAGTTACACATGAACTATTAATTAATTTACTTTCTCGGCATTGATAATTTACTCTGCAACTTACTTTAACTAAGTTTGCATGTCTAATCTGTCATCTGACCGATCAGGTATCTTGTCAAAAAGCTTCTGCAAACTATTTAAAAGAAGTGAAGAGATCCCATTTCGTTAGTTCTGATAAGGTACATATTGGTTTCTCCTTCCAAATGCCTCATTTTAAAAGTTGGTAAAAGTAAAAAGATAAGAGAACAAACATACTGCATTCAACTTTAATTCTTTTTGATTGTGGCCTTCTCTTATTCTTGATGTGGAGAATGGGTTATGTGGTATCTAATAAGTGGTTATCATTATAATACGTTGGTTTTGTAAGGTTGTTAGACTAATGGACGAAGTGGAATCCATATTCACAAAGCACTTTGCCAACAACGATAGGAAAAAGGCAATGAAATTTTTAAGACCACAACAACATAAAGATTCTCATATGGTCACCTTCCTTGTCGGTAATGCTTCTTCCTTCATGTTAGCATGACACTTAACATTGACTAATACTAGCAAAGTAATAAAACTACGCATAATAAGAGTAGTGTCACTTCAAATTTCAATGCAATATCTGAAAAGATCACTGCAAGTACCAACAGACAAGCCAAATAAAATTTTGATCTATTACTATTATTAGCCTATGCTCATTGCTCAGTGGCCACTAATTTGGGCACTGTACCATGCTGATTGGACAAATTTGAATATTTTAATGCGTAGAACAAAGTTTTTTCCTTCTTATATCAACACCTCATTTTTTTATTCTTATTTTTCTTTATTATTATCTCTGCAGGGTTGTCTACAGGTTGTTTTGTATCCTTGTTTTGTGTGTATGCAATATTGGCTCATTTGTGTGGTATATTCTCTCCTAGTAACGAGACAGCTTATATGGAAACAGTTTACCCCGTTTTCAGGTTACTTCACATTTTTCCAACTTCACACATTGTCTCTTTTGTGTGCTATTATACTCTACATCCTAACTCTATGACCAAAATACCATGCATTTATCAAGTAGGAATCTGAAATTCTAAAATATGTTCAACATGAATAAACTAAGTAGAAAAACCGGTTTGAAGTGAGCTCTTAGTAATTTATCTCTATTAGACTCCCTGAAATTTTTACATAAATGCCAAGTCTGATAAGGGTAAAAATCAGATAAAACTGATAAACCATGAAATCAGATGTACTTAAACTAAGCAAATTGTAAAAAGTCCACTGAAAATTTTAATACCTGTGCTGTGCACTGATGGTTAGAAAGATTTTGTGCAGTGTGTTTGCATTATTAAGCCTGCACTTGTTTATGTATGGATGCAACCTGTTCATGTGGAAGAATACAAGAATCAATTACAATTTCATATTTGAATTCTCACCAAGCACAGCAATGAAGCACAGAGATGCATTTCTGATGAGCACTACCTTAATGACAACTGTGATTGGGGCAATGGTCCTACATCTGCTTCTAAGGGCTGCACACTTTTCTCCTACCCAAATTGATGCCATTCCTGGAATTCTTCTACTGGTTAGTCTAATCACTATTTCTTTTCCTTGTAATTTGTAACATAAACTAGCCTTGTTTGCTTCAAATTCAGCAAAGTAATTTGTAAACCTTTGTACTGAATATGAAATTCTATTTTCAGTTTTTCGTAGCATTGCTCATTTGCCCATTTGACATTTTTTATCGCCCCACACGTTACTGCTTCATCCGTGTTATTCGCAACATAGTATGCTCTCCCTTTTATAAGGTAAACTTCCCTCATTTGATTCCTTAGAACAATTGTATTTTGTATACATTGTAATATTGACATATTTTTTCATTTTAATTTATCATTTCTAATTTTCCACAGGTTCTGCTAGTAGACTTTTTTATGGCTGACCAACTAACTAGCCAGGTGATCTTATTACATTATTATAGCCTATAAGTTGATTATAATTTTTGTCCTTTTTTCACTTCTTATTATGCATCCTAAGTAACATTAAATTGTACGTTATGGTTGTGGATACAGATTCCGTTGCTAAGGCATTTGGAAACTGCAGGTTGTCACATTTTTGGTAGAGTTTTCAAAACACACCACCCTGAGACCTGCCATTCTGGAAGATTATACATGGAAATAACTTATATCATCTCATTCTTGCCATATTATTGGCGTGCTTTGCAGGTAAGCTTGGATTCTCTTTTCACATGTTATATAGTTAATTGAATTTCTCTTATACTCCATCATTTCATCAACTAACACATCGTGCTTATTGAATGTTTCTGCAAGTGTGCAAGACGGTGGTTTGATGATGGTGATGTGAACCATTTGGCTAACATGGGCAAGTATGTTTCGGCAATGGTGGCAGCAGGGGCTAAAGTAACATACAGCAGGCAACATGACCATCTATGGTTTGTAATAGTCTTAATCACTTCTGTGGTGGCTACAATTTACCAACTTTACTGGGATTTTATCAAGGACTGGGGATTTCTTAATCCCAAATCAATAAATCCGTGGCTCAGAGATGATCTAATTCTAAAGAATAAAAGCATATACTATATGTCTATTGTGAGTTTTCTTTTATCTCCCGAACTGAATAATGAATATCACAATCATAAGTTTTTATGTCATGAGGTGATATTGGATTGCAGGTGGTAAATATTGTCCTAAGAGTGACATGGGTGCAGACCATCCTGCACTTCAAAGTAGGGCATATTCAATCACGACTACTAGATTTTTTACTAGCTGCACTTGAGGTTATTCGAAGAGGTCATTGGAATTTCTATAGGTATACTTTTTCATATTTAAAAGAGCTAAATGATATTTTTATTCTTCAGAATTTCCTTGTTGAACAGTACATTAAATTCATTCCTATCTCAACCAAAGTAACACGACCTATTAGTGTTTGCAAATAAACAAGTCATAATTAAAATCCAAGACTGTTAGGTGCAGGCCTAGAAAACCTTTGTCTCTAATTCGCACCTCACATGAAAAGCATAGACAAAAGAATAGGGTGGCAATGACAGAACTCCAAAGTCATAATAACTTAAAGTCTGTTTGAATACAAGTTAAAAGTGTTTTTGAGAGTTTTTATTCTGAAAATAAAGAGTATTTTCTAATAGAGGAATTCTCAGTAATATTTCTAAACTTGTATCTAAACAAATTCTTTGTTTCATAGTATCTGATTCCATATTCACATATTGAAGACCAACTCATCGTAAAACCTTAAGATTGTAAAACATTGACCCTTAACAGTTATTAAATAGTAAAAAAAAGTCACTCATGAACTTGAAAACTTGTCTGAACAGGTTGGAAAATGAGCATCTAAATAACGTTGGTCATTACCGAGCAGTGAAGACAGTTCCACTACCATTTCGAGAGACAGAGTCTGACTGATGAGGTGATTTCTTGTACACAAAAACAAGTCCAGTAGACATGCTAACAAGTAGAGGCATGGAGTGTAAAGAATAAAAAGGGAGAAACTCCTCTTAATATGTTTCTTGTTTATTGCCTCTTTTATAGGCAAGAGAAATGGACATGTTCAAAATCGAACAAAGAAAGAATTGTTATTTTTTTTCTCCTAAGATTAGTAAATATTGAAATGTTGGTGGTGTTTATAATTTCATTTGTCAGGTAACAGATTTAAATTGGCGTACAATGTCTTCCAAATGTGATTTCTTTATATTTCCTGCATGAATCAACTTACCTATGTCATAGCATGTGATATATGAGGTCCAGTTAATGTATGATAGATAGATCGAACTACTTTACCTTCGTTCAAATGAACAAATCTTGTCTTGTGTTTATTAGAGCTGATATCATTCGAAAATAAATAGAGGATCTCAATTCTCTCAATACCAAATATTCAATATTTTCACTCGATATCCATTCTAATGTAAAAGACTCACCACCGTACACATGACGATACAACTAACTCATGGATTGAAATCAATTCATTATTAATCACTCGTAACAATAGTAAAGAATCAAATCAATTTATAGAAAAATTTCACACATAACCTCTCCTCCCTCCTCATTTACACTCACCATTTAAGAATTAGAATTCCCAGTTTCATTTTCAGCTTATTAATTTTATGGTAAAGCTCTGTCCTAATTAAATGGTTCAAATCATATTCTCATTTTAAAATTTTAAGGAGAAGAAACTCACTTTACACTCAATTCCACTTACTTTATTTTATTAAAATAATTGGAATTATATTTTTCATTTTTAACTATTATTATCAAATTAATGTTTCGAATTAAAAATTATTGTATCTTTGTATTACTGATTTGGGTGAAGTATAACACTATATCCTAAAGCCAAATTTGTAAATGGGCTCCAACATTTTTATTTATATTTAAGCTATGTTCAACATGCTGGACCCAGAAAGTTAGTATGTGAAATTGTCATTGAAAGTTGCTGTTTGTCACCATATAACCTATTCTCCCTTGCACTCTTGACATGTTGAACACTTCCTCCTTCTCCCCAATTATATGGTTCGTCATTCGTGCAATCAGAATCAACAATCCCATTCTTCTCCAATATCTAGTTCTTTACTAGAGTAAGCACTTTTAAAATAATACATGAAAATCCCATTTCACCTCACTCTCATTGATTGTAGCAATATTACCTTCTGATTCAACATTCTCAAGCAAAATGGCCTTTTTTTGCCACTCTTGTAACACCAATCATCATCTTGAGGAATATATGTCCTTTGTTCTTTGTGATCTTTTTATTGAGGTTGTCTAGTTGTCCCTCTCTCACGTTGGTTACTTTGCCAATCACATTTGCTTCTACTTCACCTTTATTGCTAGACTTTTCAATTGTCTTATATTCTCTTGCCACTTTTATTTATTTATTATTCCTTTTTTTTTATGCAAAGAGGCTTTATCATTTTCATTCATTGAAACGGTAGACATTTGCTTGTCTAAAGCTTCCTGCTAGCCAAGATATTTTCTAGTTAAAGTTGGTTCCTTGATCCACCTAAAGTAGCTATAATTGTCCTATAAGATTGGGGATTTGATTCATGAATTATAATTATTCTTTTCCTTGCCTCGTTATTGCATATATGGATTTTAAATTTGTAATATATTGACTCACCAATACCAACACGTGGTACATGACTTTCCCTATTTTAATCTTCCACTTGTTTTACTTTGCCTCAAACGTTGGCTAGATTGTTTCTTTGTCACCAAGAACTAAGTTTGAACTAAGTTTTTCATGCATCATAGTTGTTATTAATTCATTATTAAACTTCTCCATTGAGCTAGCTCTGGTGATCTGTCATGATAATAATAACTTTTTAGTGCTCAATAGAAAATTGTATTACAAAGTATCCTCGCATTAAGTAAGCACTTTAACTAAGTAAACCGTTTGCTCTGATACCTGTAAAGAATAAAAAGGGGGAGGAGGATACTTTTAAAACCACATGCATAGAAGCCCCCAAAAGGGGCAATAATCGAAGCAAACAAGTCAAGACATAAAGCATGACATTGAACTGGTAGGTTTCATATCTCTTTCCAAGAAAACTGTATAGGACAACATATGGTGCATCACAAGTTTATAATTTTCAGTTGTTACTGAATGGTCACACTATATAACCTAAATTGTAATGTTGAGATAAGAAATGCATTTATCCTATGTAGAACATGAGATGAGATACTTTTGTAATGACAATTTTATCCAAGAAGAATGAAGGTCAAAATGAATAGTTCAAATTTGACTTTCTTTACATTTAATGACAAAAATTTATTAAGTGAATGACTGGGCCAATTTGAGTGAATCATTGTCTGAGCTATGCAAGTCGTTGACCCAGCTGATCTGTGAACATGTTTAGCCTGATTCCTTTTCACGTTCCACATTCTTTTTTATTCTTCAAGTCAAATTTGAGGCATTCAAATTGTGTTTTTGGTAAAAAAAATTTGATTAGTTTGGCCATGCACACACTGTCATGTCGATATTGAAAAGTGGACCAAGATCACAGTGAAGCCAACAAATTGACAAGTTCTGCATGTTATTTCCACATAGATGTAAAATTAGTCAGCTTCTTGTTGAATAATGCTTTATAATATTGTATCAATTAGTCATGGAATGTTACAGAGCTACCTTCCTTGGACACGTTGAGAACAACCTATGATGTCAGCAAGCTACAAAATGATTCTGCTGTACAGTGGGATTAGCATCTAGTTCAGAATAACTCGATTGATGTTTAAAGACTCAACCAACAACTTAATTCTCAAGAAATTCAGTTTGCTAGGCTGTTTCAAATTATATTTTTTATGTGTGTTTGCAATTTTGTATTTGTAATGTAACACTCACGCTAATTCAATTTTTTGCTTAGGAATGAATTCAATCTTTGGACAAAAAATCCATAACCAAAATGTAATAAGTGAATCTTGCGCGGAAATAATCTTCCACTCCCAAACATGTGTATACGTGACATTTTTAAGTGCAATTTAATTTGTATGTACCGCTGGCTGGTATAAAAAAAATTATACTCGAATCAAAAAATTATGATAAGTATATATTTTTTTAAAATAAGTTATAAAATTAATAAACTTAGTATATATGATAGTATAAAATCTCTTTATTTATATTATGAATGCATGCACTATTTATTCTTTCAACCATCAAAATGTTGTTAATATTTTTGTTAAAATTGAGTGATGTGTATTGAATTAGACTATACTATCATTTGGAGTTTTTAATAGTTAATTAGGATTGATATAGTGATGAAGTTAAAGTAATATGTATAAGGTCATAAATTCAAACTTGATCTAGATATTGATGGTTATTTTCTCTGTTTTCTATTATAAGAAGAAAAAAATTTATGCATATTAAGAAAATTAGTTATTTACATTAAATTTTACTAATTTATATTTTTCTTAAATTGTTCTTATTATAAATATCAAAAAAATTAGTGCATTTGAAAAGGTCATATATTAAAGGAGAAATTTTTTTGGAGAGTATTGAGACAAAAATAGTTGAAATTTATTTATATTTAAGAAAAAGAATTTTACTTATAATAAAAAAAACAAAGGGAATGTGTGTATGTATATGTATATATATGAAAAAAGGATCCATTTACTTAAGAAGTAAGTAATAACTTATGTTATACATTAAATTTCAACAATTCAATCGTTAAATTTAAAGTTTTTAATGCATAGATCAAATTTGGAGATTTTTAAAAAAATTTAAAATTATTTAATACTTCGTTTCATTAATTCAAATCAACGTATTAAAAACTTTAAATTTAACGGTTTGATTATTGAAATTTAATATAAAATATGAGTTACCTAAATCCTAGACCCTAAACTTAAACTTACTCTAAAAATAAATAAATTACTTATCTATCAATATGTGTCTGGGTGTTAAGGGTTCAACAAATAGTCTTATACACTAGAGATATTGAGGGAAGGAAAAGAAGATGAATGTTTCTTGAAAATGAGAGAAAAAACTCAAGACTTACATCTAGCTCTCACACATCAATGTTACAAAAAAAAAAATCATTAGTTTACGTTTCAATTTAGTTTACGTTTGTAATGAAATTTTTATTTTCAATATCATTAGTTTTTAAGTAATTAAAAAGTGTTGTAAAAAAAAGTAATTCAAATGTTCGAATCATTTGTCAATCCAAATGAAATCCAAAAGTGACAAATGTTGCGATAAGGCGAGTGAAGACTACCGTAATTTCTTTAAATTATTGTACAACATGAAATGTTAGGTGACAAAAATGAAGGCAAAGTAGATAATTGAGATGTTGAGCGTGTAGATACGATAAAAAAAAAAACACGAGAAAATTGAATTATTAGTTTGAATAAAGTGTCTTTTAATCCGTGCTCTTTTGTTTGTTTTTTTTTTTCAATCATAAATTTCACGTGTGAAATACGTTTGGAACTTTCTTTCATCGCTTCAAAAACTTTAAGTTGATCTCCTCACTGTTTACGTTTTGGATCCTCTCAACTGTGAAAGTTTCTAAATTGTTATTATTTTCTCTTTTAAATCTTGGGTGGGAAACTGATTGATGGGTAAATTAAAATTATTTGTTCTAGATCTTGAGTGAGACACTGATTGATGGGTAAGTTAATTTTTATTAAGGATGCAGTTTTTATTTTATTTTATTTTTAAGCTTGACATATTAATGCTGGCATCTTTTGATTGGAATCGACATGTAAATGCTTTGATTAAAAATTATGGGGTGTTTAGTTAGGTATGAGAATACGATACGTATTTAATTGAGATAAATAGATGAATATTTTTATTAATTAAAATTTATTAAAAATTAATACAAAATTAAAAAAGTATAATCGAGAATATTTGAGTAGCTAGCTGCAATGAACATAGGGTAAAGGGTACGTGGTCCATTTTGAAAGGGTGAAGAAGGAAGGATGAAGCAAGCATATATGAGTCTCAAGTCTCAATCCTAATTTTGTTGGGGAGTCTTTTAACATCGGGGGAGCATTACAAGTGAGTTTGACACCACAACATAACCTAAAACCTTAAGGCATTAGATAAGTGGATCTTTCTCACTTATATATTATTTAAGATACCCAACTCTGATCAACGTGGAACTTTGCTTAACACTTGATTTCCAACAAATTTGACCCACTTGAGTTATGGTAGAAGAGATTCTTTATGAGCCCAAGCAAAAGAGAACC